GGCTGGGCACTTTGGCCCCCACTGTAGCCCAAAGGAGCCTGGCACCTGGCCTTGTGGTGGGGTCCAGCAGTCGGGGGGTGGGGTGCCCCGGCCCCAGGAGTGTGTCTGCTGGAGGCCGTCGGGGAGTGGAGCCTGGCCCACGCCTCCTGATAGCCCTGTGATGGCCACTGCCCTACCCAGACCTGCCCCAGGTGGAGATCACCAAGGCCTTCTTTGCGAAGCAGGCAGACGAGGTCACACTGCAGCAGGCGGACGTGGTCCTGGTTCTGCAGCAGGAGGACGGTGAGTATGGGCGTGTCGGGCACAGATGGGCAGGCACGGACAGGCGGGCGTGAGTCACCATCCAGCCTGGCCAGGCCCAGAGCATGCCGGGCTGCAAGCTGCCCATGCGCTTCCAGCCTGCCTCACCCTCCCTCGAGGGCGTCCTCAAAGGGAACACTCCCACATCCCCGAGCCCCAAAATCCATGAACCCAAAAACGAGACCATGGTCACTGTGTCCCATGTGGGGAGGAGGAGGTGTCTCTGCCCTCCCAGGGAATCCCCGCTCAGCCGGCCCAGCACGAGCCTGCAGAGGGCAGGCAGGGCACCTCCTCATGCCGGGCAGAGCTGTGTGGGGTGTGCTCAGCCCAGCACCCTTCTCAGTGGCGAGCACCAGAGCAGGGGTCGGGTGCCTGGTGACCGTGAGCAAGGCCTCGGCAGCTGTCTGCTCTGAGGCAGGAGCGGGTGGTCGGTTTTAGGAGAAGCCTGGCCCTGGCGTGCTCATGCACAGCAGCTCAGAGGGGCCAGGGGACCCATGGCCTTCCTCTCACCTCCCTCCCACCCCATCCGTGTTCAGGGTGGCTCTACGGCGAGAGGCTCCGGGATGGAGAGACAGGCTGGTTCCCCGAGGACTTTGCCCGCTTCATCACCAGCCGTGTGGCCGTGGAGGGCAATGTCCGCAGGATGGAGCGTCTGCGGGTGGAGACAGATGTGTAGCCTTGGTGAGGCCAGCCGGCGGCAGCACGGCCTGTCCCCTGATCAGCAAGTGGCCGTGCCTGGCTACAGAGAGTGTGAGGGGCTTGTCTCAAGGACCCAGCATGGTTCCCTAGGGCTTCCCAAGACCCTGTGACTATGGTGCCGGGCTCCGGACACTTCACAGAAGGAAGATCACATGTCCCTCGAGAGGCACCCCTAGTCAAGTTCGAGGGGGCCACGCTGTGTCCCAAGGAGCCCAGCCTAGTCCCATTGGCTGGCTGGGCCTCTCTCAGCTGCTGGGCCCCACCACCTCCCCGCTGCACCCACGGGGCAACTCCACCCAGACTGATGGGCACAGGGGCCACCATTAACAATTATTGGGGACAATGTGAGGTCTCCTCCTATGCCCTTCCTACCCCCATGTGGGACAGGAAGGACCCTGAGTTCCCAGGAGTGTCCCACGCTCTGAGAGGGGGACTGGCCAGAGGGAGGGGACCCGGCAGGGAGATTTCGGTTTTGAGGTTTCTAAATACATTAAAGTTATTTCTTAAGAACCTAGATTTTCAGTGACTCTGAGCCCAGGCAAAGGCTGTGGCCACACATTTTCCAGGGACATACTCGGGATGCTGCAGCCCGGCACCGGGCCCCCTGGACATGGCCCCCCTGTGTTGGGTGCTGTGGGCCGGTACCGGCCCCCTCATGCGTGGTTGCCCCGAGCTCGCCCCTGGTGTGGCCAGTCTGCTCACTGGCTGGAGCATTGGAACAGGGCCAGTGGCCCGATTGTGTGCTGAGAACCCAGGGGCAGCAGAGCTGTGCCTTGCAGGGCTCAGGCTGGCCAGTGGTTTAGAGGACTCAGGGATTCAGTAGAACTTTTGGGGATCCCTCTGCAGTGTCCCCGGAGTTGGAGGCGGGCGCCACGTCCCGCCCAGCCTTTCCTCCCAGCCATCTCGTCCTGGGACCTGCAGGCAGAAGAGGCGGCCTCCGAGCCAGTCGGCTGACCTGGGCTGGCACGGCAAGAGGAGGACTGGTTCTCTCTGTCCCAGGAAGCCCCTGCCAGCTCTCCTGTGTCCCATGCCAATGCCCGTTGCCTTTGTGGGCTTGGGTAATGCTGTCCTTAGGGAGGGAGCACCCAGCATACACCTGAGAATCTGCCCGGATCCTCCTGGGTCTGGGGCCCTTGGCTTCTGCAGAAAAGTCAGGGGTTCATCTACCCCAGATGCCAACCAGAAATGGTGATGGGTGGCTGCCCTCCGTCCCTCCCAGGCCTGGGGCAGCTGCAGGACCTGGTGCATGAGAGGTGGGGTGGGCTGAGAGAATGAGCTCCTTCCAGCCCCGGCCTGCTGGACCAGGGCTCAGGGGAGGAGGCGAGGTCTGGAGGGCCATGCAGTGGGCGGAGGGCCAGCTCCTCTCCCGGTCACCTCCATGGCCTTGGGCAGCAGCAATGGCCCAGGCCAGGCTCAGAGCCCACGCAGGACTGTCCTGGGCAGGGCTTTGGTCAGCGGCCACCTCGCAGGGTGGGGCACAGCCAGGGCTCTGGGAAAGAGGAGGAACCTGGGAGCAGAATCCCGAGATGGGGCCAGCCCCTCCACTCCCGACATGGCCATCTCCAGCCTCCGCCATCCCGCCTGTGAACTGGTTATTCCTTGGACTTTTCCTGGAGCTGCTGTGGGAGCAAACTGGCAGCCAAGGTAGGGTATGTGTGTTGGCATGTGGTGCGTACACATGTGCTAGCATGTCTGTCTCTGTGTGCGTGTGTCTGGTGGCCAGGGGGCAGCATTTTCGTGTAAACCCAGCTGCCCTGCAGCCTCCTGGTGGTTCTCACTGCCAAGTTCATGCTCAGCTCATGGAGCAAGGTGGGTCTGGAATGCCTGGCCTCTGACTCTGTGACCTCACTCGCGTATGTGACCTGGGGCAGGTGACTCAGCCTCTGCACCTCAGTTCCGTCTACAAGCGGCTCCAGCAGCCTCTGCGTTTCAGCGGGCAATGATAATGCTCAGCCTGCAGGAAGGGGGTCCGGGCCCAGGCTGGGTGGCTGTCCTGCTGCGACAGCGGCCAGGCTGTTGGGGGCATCTGGGGAAACGGGGGGAGGGCCCGGTTCAGGCCTGCTCAGGACAAGAACCCCTCCAGGAGGAGTGAGGAAGCGCAGGCCTGGGCTGCCAGTGAGGTGTGGGGGCCCAGGCAGGGGCAAGACCTCTGGGCAGGAGGGGCATCAGGAGAGGGGGCCACAGACTTGTGTAGCCCTGTCCCCAGTACCAGTGTCAGCTCACGCCCCTCCGAGGGCCCCTGTTCAGCCTGGGGTGCTGCCCTCACTGGCCCCGGTGCCATGGCCCCCTCAGCAGGACAGAGCAAGCCTGGACCCCCAGGACGACCACCCCCTCCCCAGGGTCTTCTTGCTCACTCTCCTCATGGAACCTCAGCCCGTCCCATACTTCAGTGTTGGGACCCAGGGACACTTGCCCGCCCACAGTCCCCAGATAATAGGGGTCCCGCGGGGGCTCCTGCCACGCTGGCTTAGCGGGAGAGGGGTCCCGGGAGGCAGGACTTGCCTGGCCCAGCCCTCCTGTGCAGCCGCATAGCCTGGGTAGGTCCAGACCCTCCTGTTGCAGGGGGTGAAATTGAGGCCCAGACCCTCTTCCCACCGCAGGGGTCAGTGGGCCCCACTGCAGGGGGCTATCAGGGCTCTAAAGACACCCGTCTAGCCAACAAGGCCTGTGTCCCGAGTAGGGTGCCAGGGTGCCCGCGGCGCTTGGTGTCCCAGCCCATCCTGCAGGTCATGGTTGACCTGGGATGCCGTGGGGGCTGTGTGGATGCAGGGCAGTGGGAGGGGGCTGCTGCTGAGGCCTTGCACCCAAGCCCCGTCCCCAAGGCCACCCAGGGCAGGATAGCCCAGGCTCGGGGCAGCCCAGGCCGAGGGCTGGGGTTCATCTTGGCAAACTTCAGTGCCCAGCGCTGGGCGGGCAGCCCTGGACACTGCTGGGTCCAGACTGGCATCACCTAACCTCTCCTGGGGCTGTGCGAGCCAGGGGGGTGTGGTTCACAGGGGCACAGAAGCCAGGTGGGAGAGGCCGCCCCAGCTAGGCCAGGACAACCATCAGAGACTGGACAGGCCACCGGTCCCTCCATCCAGCCAGAGATGGGACAGGCCACCAGTCTGTCTATACAGGCACAGTTGGGTCTGTCACCTGTCAGATCTGGAGTCTCACAGTGAGCACGTCCCTCCATCCCACCCCCATGTCCCCGCCACCCCATCCCATGTGCCATGTGCGTCCTCAGCCCACAGAGCCCCTACTGCTGTCCTGTGACCGGCAGAGAATTTGTACACAGGGTGCGCACTCACATGACCTCATCCTAGTTCCTACTCTTGCCCAACCATGTTTTAGGATCTATCTGAGTAGCGCTCTGCTCATCTGGCCCCTCTGGAACATTCCGGAACATGCCCCGCCCTGGCAGTGTCCTCTGCAGGGACTCCCCTTCCCCAGCCTGCTGCACGCCTTCCTCTCGCGCCACCTGGTGTCTGGCAGAGGCACTGCTGGCTGGGCCCCAGGGCCACCGATGCCCCGACTGCCGCCGGCTCCAGGGCTGGCCCTGGGACCCCAGTGGTTCCTGGGGGGATCCTCACCCCACATTCACTCAGAGCCCTCTGCCTCCAACTTTTGCTAGTGGGAGTAAGCCGTTGACCGGTGTTTTGATGTGCAGCTTTCTGGTCTTGGCGAGACGGGCCTTCTCCGTACACTTGGCCTTGGCTGTGGGGTCTCTGTGAATTCTGCCCATCTCCTTCCCTCTCCGGCTCAGCTCGATCCTCCTCTGGTTTGGCTGGGTCCTCCTTTCTCC